CCAAGAAGGGGGGGGGGGAGGGGGCGGGCGCGGCAAGATCTTTTCTGATCTTTCTCAGGACTGTCAGAGCCCAGTGGGAACGAGAGAGGGAGAGAGTGAGGAGGAGGGGGTGGGAGGTGCTGATGGAGGCTGGAATGCAGCTGCTTCAGCTGGAGACAGGCCTGGGGGCCGATGGCTGTCAGTCTGCTGGGAGGAGTAAACCCGAGGGAGGGCAGGGCAGATGGCTGGATGGCCAGGAAGGGCCACAGGCTGATCTGACCTACCTGGAGGGGTGGTGAGAATGCAGGCACAGAGGCCACCCTCAGTGGTCATCAGGAATGTGCTGGGAGGGAGGTTCTGGAATGCAGTCCTCCTATACAACCCAGCATCGCTGCCCAAACTGGAGGCCTACTCAGAGAATGTTCTAGTGATAGGAGGGTAAGAAATCTGTCTGCAGTGATTGACCAAGTTTAAAACTTTCCCTAGGGAAGGCAGGGCCCATGGACTGGCATAGTCCTCACAGAACACTGTGTGTGGGAAATGCCTGGAGGGGAGGAACAGGGCCAGAATAAAGATGGGGACTTGGGGGGTCAGGCAGGGTCACTGTGTGGTACCCTGAGACACGCATCCTCTTGAAGCCATGGACCTGAATCTGTCCTGCAGGGAGAAGTGTCTCAATGGCAGCTATCTGCGTAGGGGAGAGGCATGAAAATTAGGGAGGTGGACCCTGGATGGCAGGAGGGAAGCTCCAGGCTACTCTGGGGCTGCCTTTCTTAGATCTGGCCTGTGCAGAGTATCACCTCTTTGAAGTCATTCCCTGGGGCTAGGCTGGGAGCCGTGGGCTGGAGATGAGTGAACTGTACTTGACTTTGGATTTTGCTCTGGTTGGTCTCCCTTATGCTATCCTGGGCTTTTGTCAGCCTTGTTCAGATGTTCTAGCTGGGCCCCTGTGGGGCTAAGTAAATTCAGGAGGAGGTGAGGGTGGGAGAGGAAGAATCGCTTAAGGCAATATCAGAGTGGCAGGGCCATTGGTGAAAGACACCTGAGAATAGGTGAATCTCAGGCACTTTAGATCCAGCTGCTCTGCACCTGCAGATCTGCCTCCACTGTCAGCTCAAAGTGTCTAGGAGAGAGTGTGTTTTGGGGTTCCCTCACAGAAGCAGCTGTGTGGGGACCTCAAGGCCCCCTTGGAAATAATTGGTATTGTCCTTCAAAGCAGTCACTGAATGAGCCTGCTGAGCTATTTTGGCAGTGCCACTGTCACCTGAACATGTGTCTGATGGCCTTCTCTGGAAACTTCCACTAGAGTTTCAAGCCACCCAAAAGAGTAGGTCTCACTACTTTATAAAACTTATTTTTCCCCTGAAAAACATGGCCCCTGGTTCAATATTTGACATGAATCAAAAAATTTCACTTTATCCTCAAAGGCCAAAGATTTGTGCCCATGGAAAAAAATCAAAAGAACGAGTCCCCAGCAATTCCTGCAGATACATTTCCAAGAAGATGCGGGGTGACAGCAGCACCCCTGGCATAAGTGTGGGGCTCTCAAGGTGAGTTATTTGACAGGATAGTGGCCGTGCGGGGAAAGGACCTCATCTAGTAAGTCATGGTCACAAGGCAGACATCCACCAGGCTGTGTTTACACCCAACACACTGAAATGACAAGCTCTGGTGCAAGTTTCCACCAGAACTTTCCCCACTGAAGACATGCCGGGAAGATCAGCCTCACACCAGTGACCACACACACAGCACCGACACGCCATATTTTCCCCAAATAAGGCCCATCAATATCCAGCACTGACCCACACATCCCACTCATNGCCATCCACCAGAACTTTCCCCACTGAAGACATGCCGGGAAGATCAGCCTCACACCAGTGACCACACACACAGCACCGACACGCCATATTTTCCCCAAATAAGGCCCATCAATATCCAGCACTGACCCACACATCCCACTCATCAATTTTGGCTACAAAACTTGAGAGATGTGTCATAGAATTTGCTGTCACACAAGTAAGTCCCAGCTCCGCTGTTTCCTAGCTGCACTTACGAGTGGCCAACCAGCCACTGGGAGACAGATTTCTCACCTGTAAACGAAGGCTATATGGCACCTCCTCATCTTCCCAGGGCATAGCTGGGTAAGAGCATATGGCATACACTTAGGACAGTCCCTGGCATGTGGAACATCCTCCAAATAAAATAAAGGGGCTGCACCCTTTTGGAGAACTTCAAACGGCTTCCATGGGTCTATAGTGAGGAAAGGTAGAGGGAGGCCAAGCAAGCAAGGCACTGAGGCCCCTCACTCCTGCCTTAGCCAGAACAGCTCGGCTCTGATCTGTTTCATATCTTGGCCTTCCACCTAACATTGCATTTAAGAAAATATTGTTTTTTCAAAAGAAAATATTTTAGCTCTTAAAAAGAGCTTGAAAATCACTGTACCAGGGAATGCCTGGCATGCCTTCTAGCAATGAACTTGATGTGCATCTAGGATCCAATTGGACCTCCCCTGAGCTGGGTCTCTCTCCATCTTGCCCTGACCCCGCCCATGCCCCC